TACAGTTTTAAACTTCATAACAACTGTATGGTGGGTCATTTGGTAAGGGCATGGCCACTTTGACTGACAGGTAAGTCAGCTGTAACTGATCATTATTCGATTACCTAACTGGCAAACTGCATTTTTAAATGGAATTACAACAAATAGCAATAAAATAATCTGATCTAATAATTAAAAAGAAATTTAAACATTTTCTGTGCTAGACTAATGAGCACAGCTTGAGTCTTCTACCAAAACTTAAACTCTACTAAGGTTTGTGGTAGACAATTTACTGTAAATTGCACTAAATTTAACACTGAAACACACTTTTTTTCTATGACTGGTATGTGTGTGATAGTTTCTGCTTGGAGGGTGTGCTTATTTGGAATAAGAAGGGGAGTGTGTAACTGGCACGGAAAGTCAATGAAATTAATTTTACTTTGATCTGCTGACAGACTAAATTGATTTTTACATCTTATTATGTTGTGGGACAGTAGTCTTAAATGTTTAACTAGATCTATTTAAAATTTCAGAGCTCTAATATGCCACTGTGCCTTAGAAATAAACAGCAGCGCCAACAGTGCCTTTCACAATGAAATAATTAGCCTAACCTGTCACTAGCCTCAGACAGGGGTTTTGCAACATTTTCAACATCTGTAACTCCCATAACTCCTGAACCATTTCAAATGAAAGACTTTCAATGGTTCCTGAAAACAGTGACTCTGTGCTTGTCAGGGTTTTAGGGTCATTACAGTAATCCCTGGCACAGTGTTGCAGCAACCCCAAAAAGAAGGTAGGAGAAGAGGTTGAGAGAAGAGAGAGTTAGTGAGTGTGATGGAGCCCTACAGAAGACACACACATACACACAGCCATGTTTTTATAGTTTTGTTTTTGTTCTTTGCTCTTTTGTTTTCTTTGTTATTTGCCAAAATTTGGATGTGGCGTCTGCCTGGGCTTATAGTAGCCTTAATAGCCTTACTGAAACAGCACAGAGTTGATGCTTTCAGGAACCGTTTGAATTTTTCAATTGTGCCAGTGGTTCGGGAGTTGCGGTAATTTGACCTAAAAGTTTGACCAAAAAATAATTAACTTTAATTTAAATGTTTATTTTAACACTCGGTGTGCTAAGTATTAACCATTTTCTGCAGCATTAATCTCCTGGTTTGTAAAAATGTTGCATTTTACTGTTATATTTTTATGTTCTTTATAGATTTGAATCACCAATTTATCACCATCCTCTAATCAGAATAAGAATCAGAAATACTTTATTGAGCATCGAAGGTGTTTGAAAAAGGGAGGGGGGATGAGTGTAACTACCCTTTTGAAGTAGGTGACACTCATAGGGATCATTTTGTGCCAAATAAGAGTTACTTGGCCCAGAAAACACACATATTTACGTGAGCAAAGAAAGTTCATAATATCCAACATAATGCAACCTGCAATGGTGACTTATGCTATGAATCTAACCTGTTTTGGAGCAGGTTGTGTTCCAGATTAGAGACCAGCAGTTATACTAACTAATCAGTTATCCAGAAAATAGCGCCGCCATTTGTGGAACATCCCTCTGAGGGATCTTTTGTATTTCCCTGATGAGCATCAAAAAAAAGAAACAAAGATTCTAAAAAAACCCATTTTTGATCATTTTTCCCCCTTTTGGCTGTAATTTATTAAGTTATTTTGTTATTTAAACATTAACATATGATCCTTAAATGGACACCTATTTGTACTTTTTGACCTTATATCAAATATGCACGTAGTCTAAGCCTATGTTTTACATTTTTTTTTTACTTTTTTTTTTGCTTGCTCATGAATTATTAAACATCAAAGCTGCAGTGGAAAGGATAAAAACTCGTAATAATTAATTTAATCAAATACTTGATTAAAATCCATCATAACCCCTGTCTTAATGATAGAGTTGCAATATTGATGAGCTGACAATTGGCATTTTTCCAGGCTTCAAATGAGCTAGACTTTTAATTTAGTAGCTATCTTCCAATCTTACTGACCACAGTGCCTTGGATTTTTTTGATATTTAACCCTGTACGTATGCCTTGCAAACAGAAGTGGGTTGAATCCAGGAAGTGTTCCTTCTTGAAACCAATTGGGATTTAAGTGAAGATTTTTAGTAAGCTCCAAAGACATTTGGAGGTGAAAATGAGCTGGTGTGTTTTGGCTTACTGACCTAAAGGATAACTTGAGTGCGCTTAAGCTCCGGGGAACAAACTCATGGCTGGATATTCTCCAGTCATTTTGCAGGGTGAAGACAAAGTTATCTGCTGAGCTGTGTAAATTTTATTCAGCTTTTGTTTCACTCCCTTTGACGAACTGTCTTTTACGACATTTAGCAATTATGAATGGTGTGTTGGGAAGTCATTTTTTATTCAGTGTTGTCAAAGAACATAATATAAA